TGTTTTCACCCGATGGGCAACTTGTAAGGATAAATAAACCATTTAGTGGATGTATACCTGAAGTACATCACAGTAAACATTAAACCATTAACTTTCATAATTAACTACATGTGTAATGAAATATACCATTCACATAATGGTATTTACCAAAAACCAGTAAGCATATGACAGTAGTTACATTACGTAATTACTTGCCACTATTTTCTGATTTTTGCTACATCATTCACCAAATAATGAATATAAACTCTCAAACCCAATAATCCTGTCCCTATTTCACCATGAAGCAGCCACAAAAATGAACAACCCAAACCCCACCATCAACTTCTACTCATTTACGTAATCCCACAGGTTCACTCTCTCTCTTCTTCTCTCTGTCTCTTTCCCGTTTTTCCTCTGCTTCTTTTCTAAACTTTATTTCTCTCTTTCTCTCTCCCCCCTTATAGTGTTGGTGATGAGATTGAGAAGGGAAGATGAAAGACAAGAGGTACCAAGTCTCAAACCCTAAGCATAATGAAATATTCATTGGAAACATACCAGAACGCCGTAGGAGAGACCGCTTCTTCTTCTTCTTCATTGAACCCTTTGACAGTTTATGCCTAGCCTCCAGTTTTGCCACCCTTTGAAGAAGAAGAGAACCTGAAGAGAGAGAAAATAGCTCTCTGAACATGAAGTGAAAGAGAAGACAAATAAGGATGAGAAAAAGGGCATTGAGATAATTTGTTAAAATTTGTAAATCACAATTCAATACCTGTAGACATATTTGTCTTTTGTGAAATTAGAATGACTAATCTGGAATTTCAAAATTCAAATGGTATTTATATACAATTTTTCCAAACTAATATCATCATATCAATTAATATAAATAAATATAGCATATTTATCCTCCAATTCTAGCTTTTCTTTCTCATAATTTTTTGCTTCATTCGTTACGTTCTTTGTCACCGATTATGTCAATAGAAAAAATTACCTTTTCTATCGCACAAAATAAACACAAAGTCTTTCATATTTGTAGTATTTTACATTTTATATTTTTTATGATATAAATTTCTTAATATAAATGTCATATTTACGATTATTTTTTAATTTTTAATTCATGTAAAGACATACTCTATGAAAAAGTAATTCCAAAAATAATATCCTATGAGTTATAATATAAATAAATAGAAAATATTTTTCGTCCACTTCTTGCCTTTCTTTCTCATATTTTTCCATTCTTTCCTTTTGGCCATCTTTTTTCATTCATTTCTTATATTTTCCATCTTCATACAAAATATACCTCTTAATATGTTGCGCAAAATAAATTAAGAAATCGTTCACATATATATTATAGGGAAAATTTCAATCTAGGACCGTTGTAGCAAATTTATTTCAGTCAACCCTCAAAACAATATGAAACTTCACTGCAGGACCTAAGGAGGAAAGTGAAATTAATTGGACAAAGAAAAAGACACAAATATCCCTGTTAACTTTGCTGCTGAAACTGAACAGAAAAGGACCAAAAATCATAATAAACTTTCATCCTACTCTTCCCTCTCTCACCTTGTAATCTCTCTCACATGCTCTTTCCTTTCACATCTCAAAACTCACAATCCGTCTACTGGTTGTGGCACTCTAAAAAGTCGCAGAAATCGTCCAAAGGAGATTCATTATCGTTTGTTGTACTGGTTCTCTCGCTCTCAAAACCCGTATATGGATCTATTATTAGGCTTGAATGGATATGTTATTTTTCGAACATGAAAAGTCTCTATTCTATGAGATATTTGATTGTTGCTTGTTATAGTAATAGTAGGTATTTTGTCTGGCATATTTGTAAGTCAAGAATCCCGTTGCTTGAATGGGTGCTGTGAAAGCAAATCTGCAGAAAAATAGTAATTTGATGTTGCTAAAATATGTATTTGTATTATAAATTTGCAAATTTGAGTTGTTTAGGAAAATGGCAATTCGTGTTGTGAAAAATTGTATATCTGTTGCAAATTTGCAAATTTCTATTGTAAATATATACTATGTTTAATTATTGAAAGTTTATTAAAATTGATACTTGAATGATATGCAGCTACAGATAACAAAAAGGCTAGCGTTGGTGGAAAACAATTAATTTGCATCTCCTATGTGGGAGGTGAATTTTGTGAAGAATTTGCAATCACCATTGACTACTCGTCATCTTGGAAGGCTTAGAACTAGGAGGATTAAATCAAAATTCTAGCAGAAGAAAGTACATCATTGCTTAAGATGTGGTGAAGCTGGTCATATTAAAAAGACTTGTCCCTGAACCCTGTGTGATTTTACTGTCGAAAATGGTGTTTTTTGGTTTAATATAGAGCCGCTTTTGCACATGAACATAATGAATCTCGATGTGTATTTTTGGATTGGTTGAGAATGTAGCTATAACAACCCATTTAATATTTTTGGTGGTGAATTGGAATCTATATTGTATAGTGATGTGATAGTTGAAAAACATCATGATGGTACTAGACAATAAGCTATCCCTACCATTGCACTGAAATTGGTTGATAACAATGTAAATGTATGAAAAACTTTGTCCACTTATGAATAGATGTATTTCTGTTGTTAATACATGCATCTTTATTACAAATTGCCTAATTCCAGTTATGAATGAAACATCCAGACTTGTGCATAAACTTTTTATTTTAAATACTCCACTTGTGAATGGAAGAGAAGTAATTGAGGGTAACACACATTCTTGTTACAAATTTCCTTATTCTGGTTGTCAATGAACGCTCGCTCCTGGACTTATATTCAACTTGTCAATTCAACTAGCTCACTTGTAAATGGATGTATTATTATTGTTAATATACGTATTTTTGTTGCAAATTCTCTATTTCCAGTTATGAATGAACACTCACTCCTACACTCGTGATCAATTTAATTAGTTCACTTGCAAATGGCCGTGTTCTTGTCATTAATATATATATTCTTGTTGCAAATTCCCTAATTTTAGTTGTAAATAAATCCTCCTAAACTTGTGAATAGTTAACTTCTTCAATTCAACCAGCTCGCTTGCAAATAGACACATTGTTGTTAATATACATATACGTGTTGTGAATTTCCTAATTCCAGTTGCAAATAGGCCTTCCCAAAGTTGTGAATTATGTTCAACTTCTTCAATTCAACTACTACTTGTGAATGGACATATTGTTATTGTTAATATATGTATGCATGTTACAAATTTTATAATTTCAATTCAAATAAGTCCTCCCAGACTTGTGAATCAACATGTTTGACTTTTTGAATCAGATTAGTTTATTTGCAAATAGATGAGTTCTTATTGTTAATATGCATATCCATGTTGGAAATTTCCTAATTTCACTTGTGAATAATCTCTTCAGACTTGTTATATTATCATGTTCAACTTTTTAGTTATACTAGCTCATTTGTAAATAGATGAGTTTCTGTAACAAATCAACTTATCCTTGTTGCATATTTTCTAATTCCAGTTGTAAATAATACATCACATACTTGTAAATTGGTAGGAAAAGACTAAAAATTACAATTAATTAACTTGCAACGTACTCATAATATATATTCCCTAAAAAGAAAGTTGTTCAAATTCTCTATTCACAACTTTTAACATAGTTTCAAATAGCTTAAATTACATGTCAAATAGAAAATTTCACAATTTGTGATGTCATCACTTTCCTTTCGGTTGTGTCTTTATCTGTTGAAGTAGTTTTGCAACAGCAACTGACTTCATATTCCAGAACTTGATTCAAGTGTTTCTCTACTTGTCATGCTCTACGCTCCTACACTATCCTTTCTTATGACAGGCAAAATTCTAGAACATCATGCTGTAAAGTCACTAATTGTTGTTGTTAACATCCTAACTGTATATGTTTACAACAGAAATTTGCGAATTAGCAATAGATATACAAGTTTTCACAACACAAATTGCCATTTTTCTCAACAACTCAAATTTGCAAATTTATAATGCAAATGCATATTTTACCAGCATCAAATTACTATTTTTATGCAGATTTGCTTTTACAGCACCATTCAAGCAACGGGATTCTCAGACTTACAAATATGCCAAACAAAATATCCACTATTACTATACAAAGCAATAATCAAGTATCTCATAAAACAGAGACTTTTCATGTTCAAAAAATAATATATCCATTCAAGCCTAATAGCAGATCCATATACGAGTTTTGAGAGTGAGAGAACCAGTACAACAAATGACGATGAATCTCCTTTGGACAATTTCTACGACTTTTCAGAGTGCCACAACTAGTAGACGGATGGTGAGTTTTGAGATGCGAAAGGAAAGAGCATGCGAGAGATATTTCAATGTGAGAAAGGGAAGAGTAGGATAAAAATTTATTCTGATTTTCGGTCACTTTCTGTTCAGTTTCAGCAGCAAAGTTAACAGGGATATTTGCGTCTTTTTTTTGTCCAATTAATTTCACTTTCCCCCGGGTCCTGCAGTGAAGTTTCAAATTGTTTTGGGGGTTGACTAAAATAAATTTGCTACAACAGTCCTAGATTGAAATTTTTTCTATATTATATTTCATAATACTCCTCTGACATATAAGACCTATTTAACTAATTTAATTAGATTAAGAAAGTTAGATAAATTAATTAATTATAAAAAATATGACATGTTTTTTCCAAACCATCATAATCATCTTCCTTAATATCCTCCCACCCTCTTCTACTTGATTATAGTTGAGGGAGTATCCATAGGGATAATTTAGAAAAAATTGATAAATATGAGAAATAGGTCTTATATTTAGGACCAAAATCAACTTCATAATTGGGTCCTAGATTAAAGAACAAAGGAGTATTATTTATTTTTTTTAGAACTTTGTTAATATAAATTGTTATATTTATGATTGTTTTAAATTCTAAATTTACTCCATTCTTCCTCTTCTTGTTTTTTTCCCCCCAACAATTTTATTCCAGTCTTGTTGACGAAGCGCACTTGCGATGACATTAATTAAAATTTCCCATGGTGGTCTCTTTGTCCTGAGCACCATTTTTTGTCTGCCTTCAATTTCACAGTCGGGCTCGCCAGTCGCCACTGTGGAGAGCAGGAAACCCTATGACTGGCAAATTTTTGAACTTTTGTGGGTCCAACTGACCCAGATAAGAATCTTCATCATTGCCGATCTCTGCGCAGGATTCTCATGTAATTTGCGTCTCATACTCGCCCAAACCCGCTAGACTCTGCATGTTTTCAATTTGTTGAAGGTGAAGCTCTCTATTTTATTCACATTTTACCCAAATTGCAATGGAAATGTCTCCTTTTCATTTGGAGTTCTCTGATTCTCTTGATCGCCTCCCCTTTTATGCTTATATTTTAATGCATGTCCATTTTTCTGCTTTCTTTTGGTTATTTGTTACTCTTTTGCCTCTAACTCTGTAATGCGCTTTTCCTTCTTAAGCATATGCTTGACTCCGGGTTTTCTGCCCTTGTATAATTGTGTCGGTTTAGGTTATCATGCTTTGCTCGCGGCTAACCAGAAGCGAAGCCAGAGGTTATTGATGCTAATGGAAAGTACATCTGATATTGATTTATAGATTATCATGGATGGGCTTTAATAATTCAAAGAGTCAACGTTGGTTGATGATTCAGTAGTTTATTTATTATTGTAAAAGAAATTGTTCAAATAAAACAACTTGTTAAAAGAAGTAAGCTGTCTGTTCCTAGTTTACATTCTGGTGAAAACTCCCCTTGCAAATTATAGGGAGCTTACGTGTTCCTTTTAGCTAGTTTATGATTTATTGAACTTTTACTGTCTTGGCCAGACATATGGGGCTTCATATGTGAAGGCGTTTTCTAATTCCTAATGGACCAAAAGTATTGGATGACCTCTGATATCATTATACTGGAGCAATTACAATTCATGATGAAGTATCTTAGCGCATTGATTGCTTTTCTTGGGCTCAATGTGGAGGAATTTTCTTGTTCATGTTATACTTGATGGAAGTTATATATGAAGTAATAATCCGTGTGACATTAATGTTTGTCTTCAGGTGCCGTAACCTCAAAGCCTTAAGAGGAATTGGAATGGATCACAGTTCAGATGAAGATACTGATATTAGTGAATCTGAAATGAACGAGTATGAAGAAAAATCTTATGAAAGCCTTAAAAATGGAAGATTCCTTGTGAAAAACTCAGATGAGACTTTCAATTGTCCCTTCTGTAAGAAGAGAAAACGAAGCTACTTGTTCAAGGATCTTCTCCAACATGCTTCTGGGGTGGGTCAGAGCAGTTCACAAAAGAGAACTGCTAGGGAAAAGGCTAATCATTTGGCGTTAGCAAAATATTTGGAAAATGATCTTATGACTGTGGATGGTCCATCGAAACCTGTAGATGTTGAATCAAGAGATGAAGGCAATCCTCATGTCAATCAAGATGAGCAATTTGTTTGGCCTTGGATTGGAATTGTAGTTAATATTCCCACTCGACGAACCGAAGATGGACGTTGTGTTGGGGCAAGTGGGTCCAAGCTACGGGATGAGTACAGAGCCAAGGGTTTTAACCCTGTAAGAGTTAGCCCCCTTTGGAATTTTCGGGGTCACTCTGGAGCTGCCCTTGTGGAATTCAATAAAAGCTGGCCTGGCTTAGATAATGCATTGGCATTTGAGAGATATTATGAATCAGATCATCATGGCAAAAAGGATTGGTATGCTGAAACTGAGCAGAAGTCTGGTCTTTATGGATGGGTTGCTCGTGTAGATGACTACAATTTGAACAACATTATCGGGGAAAATTTGCGAAAAATGGGGGATGTCAAAACCATACCTGAACTTATGGAAGAAGAAGCACGAAAACAGGACAAACTCGTGTCAAATTTAACTAACATTATTGAGACGAAGAACAAGCATTTAAAGGAGATGGAAGTTAGATGTAGTGAGACGGCACTCCGTATGGACATTGCCATGGGAGAAACAGATAAGCTCATTCAATCCTATAATGAAGGTAGTCTTCAAAAATGAACCTGAAATAATACTTGTATACTTGGGTTAGATGGGAGGTTTTCTGGTGGCTGTGGTCTCTGGATTATCATGACTCATGAGTTCATGTTTCTTGATTATTTGTTCACTCATAGAATACGTGAATTCTGCTTGAATAGCCATAAAACGTTTCTCATCATTCATTATTTATCTATGATGTTGAGCTCTTCTAGTGACACTGTTTGATCCAATGACTACTATTGTTCAGAGATAAAGAAAATTCAAGCAAGTGGAAAGGATCATTTTCAAAAGATCTTTAATGATCATCAAAGGATGAAGTTACTTGTAGAATCTCAGCAACATGAGCTTGACTTGCGGAGTCAAGAATTGGAAAAGCGTGAGGCCCACAATGAAAGTGAACGAAAAAAGTTGGCTGAAGAGCTTGAGAAGGTATGCCATTTTTATTGGTGCAGCACTTCCTTAACATGTTGTCTAGGGGAGCTATCAACAATGAAGTTTGGCATTTTATATTTTTATTGTCTCTTTCAAATCCTTTAATAATAAATCTGTTTATGAAGCTTGTAGAGCCTCTATTTGACTATTCTGGTCCTTATTGTCTTTTCAGAATGCAATAAAAAACAGCTCCCTTCAGCTGGCTGTTATGGAGCAACAGAAAGCTGATGAAAATGTTTTGAAATTGGCTGAAGATCAAAAGGTGATTTACCTGTCCTTAAGTATTGTTTATAACCGAAACTTTCCCTGTCAGCATTGGAATAAAGGGTTATTGATGCCATTTGACTATATATTTTATCCAGAGGCAAAAAGAACAACTGCATGCTAAAATCATTCAACTTGAAAATCAATTGGATAAGAAGCAGAAGTTAGAGCTAGAGATTGAACAACTAAAAGGATCATTAAGTGTAATGGAGCACATGAAAGATGATGGAGATGCAGAAGTTCTGGACAAAGTCGATGGAATACTTAAGGATTTAAGAGAGAAGGAGCAGTCACTTGAAGAGTTTGATACTTTGAACCAAATGCTCATTATCAGAGAGCGTAAAAGCAATGATGAGCTGCAGGAAGCTCGCAAAGAATTGATTGAAGTAAGTTTTGGGTTTATCTTTTGTCTCCAACTTTGTGATTCATTTAGTTTATGTTTGAGAGCATTTGTTTAATCAGATCCATTTAAATATTTCCTTCTTATCTGAAATTAAGTTTTTGCCTCCCCTTGTAAGAGATGTGATTTCATTTGTTATATAAATTGTTTATACGAATTGATTGATTGTTTAAGACAGTAGCTTACTGATGAAACTGTTTTGGAAAGTAGCTCAGGTAGCATCCTTTCCTTTCTTTAACATCTAGGTGGCATATGTTACCTTCTTCTCTTCTCCTTTTTCAGTGTGCATCTATCTGGTTATACATAACAGGTTGATGCGTTATGATATCCATGGAGTTTTTTTAACTGTGAATAAGGGCATATCCAGTGCTTATCTTATTATTATGTGACTTATCTTTACCTTGATTTCTGATAAATTATTACTTTAATTTTGAAGCTTACTAAGATATTCTACAGTGCACTATCTGTTGGCAGAATTTAGTAATTAATGGTCATCGTCTTGACAGGGCCTTAAAGACATAACTCGTGCCCACATTGGTGTTAAGAGAATGGGGGAACTTGATAATAGACCTTTTCTTGAAGCTATGAAACAAAAATATAATGAGGAGATGGCTGAAGAAAGAGCTTCAGAACTTTGTTCATTATGGGAAGAGTATCTGAGGGACCCAGAATGGCATCCATTCAAATTTGTTGATGTTGACGGGAAGACTCAGGTATCCACTTCTGAGATCCATAGATATAATATTTCCTGCTTGATATTAGTGTTGTCAATGGTAGGGTTCTTGACAGAATGGTTTGATATCCAAGGCATTCCACTTTAAACTTTTCATGGCCATGCTATGCCATGTTTCATGCGCTTGGCAGCTCTTAGTTAACTGAATTGTATTATCTGTAATTTGAATCTCACAATTGGCACGCGCCACTAAACCCATTATATAAATATTGACTCATCTGGAAGCAGTTACAAATCAACCATGAATTGTAGAATCTGGTGTCATTTGAGCTAATGTGGCAAAATCATGATACTTAAATTCAATAAAGTATTAGAATATCGGATATCATCTGATAAAGTTTCTTCATCATGACCTGATGATGCTACATGACTCTGATGGAACTGGAAGTTTTATTGCCCAATAATATGATAATCAGCTAGCTACAACCTCTTCTATGGGTAGTGGAAGAGGAAAAGCAGTCAAAATATAGCTAACTATATCCAGTCCAGCATTACAATGAAAGAAAGAACACAGAATTAGAACTAGCAAACCAGTCCTCCAAATGTTTGAGAGGTTAGGAGCTCTCCATGGCCTTCCAAGTTTCTGTCTGCCTCCCCTTTGGGCATACTCCCCTAGATAACTGTCTCGCCACTACTCTGACTCTTGTGGGCCCTAGTCCAGGCTTGTCTCCCTTCTGTGGTCCCCCTCTCTTAACTGCCTCTCCTGATTTGCCATTGGGCTTACTCTTGCGTTGCTTCCTCTTGTATGTTTGGGCCAATACAGAGTTGGGTCTATCATTTCTTCATCCTAAAAGTGTTACCTTGTCCTCAAGGTGGAAAGCTGGAAACTGAGTGGCAATAGTGGCCATATCCTCCCAAGTGTTATCACAATCAGGTAGTTGCTGCCACTTAATTAGGACTTGTTTGTTGCCATCTGTCATATCTCGGATTTTGAGAACCTTCTCGGGTTGCACTTGGAGTTCATAATCTTCGGATGGAAGGCTAGGTAATGGGTGGGCCGTTGCTGAAGAGGAAAGGGATGCACGGAAGGTTGGGTGAACCCTTGCTGTTTCAGGTAGTTTGAGTTTGTAAGCAACCTTTGCTACTCGCTGTAAAATTTCATAAGCCCCATAGAATCTGGGTGCCAATTTTTCATGTTGCTTCTCGGCTAGGTTCTTGTGTTTGTAAGACTGTGTCCTCTGGTAGACCTTGTCTCCAACCTGAAATTCAACATTTCTTCTTTTCTTATCTGCTTGCTCCATCATTTTCGCTTGAGCTTCTGCAGAACCTCATTTTGCTCATTCATCTAGCTATTGACTTCTTCTACCATCGAATTGTCATCCTTCTACTTTAGAATGGTTGGGGGATGCCTTCCATATAAGGCCCTGAAGGGTGTAGTGGCCAAGCCCAACAAACGATTGTAGGTGTTGGTAAACCAAAACTCAGCCCATGGCAGCATCTTGACCCATTTCTTTGGGAATTCACCAGCAAAGCACTGCAGATAGGTCTCTGGGTTTCTATTCTGTGGATGGTATCCAGAACTGTATTTGAGTGTTGTCCCAGTTGGGCAAATAATTCTTTCCAAGATAGACTAATGAACACACGGTCTGAGACTATGGATTTCAAAAAACCATGCAGCTTAACCACCTCCTTTATAAAACTTTCAGCTACATCTTTTGCAGAAAAAAAGATGTGATAAAGGAATGAAATGGGCATATTTATTGAACCTGTCCACTACAACCATGATGATGTCCTGCCGATGGGCTTTAGGTAATCCCACAATGAAGTCCGTGCTAATATCTTCCCAAACTTGTTGGGGAATGGGCAGTGGTTGTAACATACCAGAAGGACTAGCAGCTTCGTATTTATTGCGTTGACACGCCTCACATCTTGCAATCTGATCCTGAATATCTCTTTTCATGCCTTCCCAATAAACTACTTCAGCGAGCCTCATATAAGTATTTAGGTACCCAGAATGTCCTCCAAGAGCAGAATTATGGGACTCCCTAATCAGTTCTGCAGTCTTGGGTGAATGCCGAGGCAATACCAGCCTATCATTATACATCAAACACCCGTTTTTTCAAAGAGCATCCAGCTGGAGTATCTCTCCCTAATAGTACTTGCTGCCAAATGTCGTTAAGCCTTTTATCTCTGGCCACTTCAGATTCAAAGTCTTCGATCCGAGCATACTGCCATAAGGAGAAGGCATTAAGGGATAAATTCTGTATTTCCTTTCAGGATAGCACGCCTGTTTTCCTTCCCAGGCTTGTATTGGATTTCAAACTTGTAGCTTATTAATTTGGAAATCCATTTCTTTTGATCTAGATCCGTTACCCTCTGTTCTAACAGGTACTTCAAGGCTTTCTGACATGTTTTTATGATGAATAGCTTGGCTGTCAAATAATGTTGCCACTTCTTAATGGCAAATACCATTGCCATTAACTCCTTCTCTGACATAGACCCATGCTGAGCTCTCAAATAACTACCAGTTGAAATAAGCAATGTGACATGCCTATTGCATCAGCACTGCCTTTATTCCCACAACACAAGTGTCAGCCTCTACCTCAAAGGGCAGCTAAAAATTAGGTATCACTAGAACCGAAGCATTCACCATAGCTGATTTGAGTTTTGCTGCATGTGCTACACTTCCCCATTGGAAAGTATTTTTCTTTAGTAAACCTGTCAGGCGGGCTACAATCTTCCCATAATCCTTTATCAATCTTTGGTCATATCCAATGAGCCCAAGGAAGCCTCTCAGCCTTTTAATATCTCTAGGCATCGGCTAGGAAATCATGGCTTCGATTTCAGTAGGATCAGCCTTCACACATCCGGCAGAAATTAGGTGTCCCAAATACTCTAGTTTTGCTGCCCAAGGATATACTTTTTGGGGTCAATGACAAGCTGATTTTGCTGGAGAATTTTTATGGCAATGTCTAAGCACTCCGTATGAGAATCCTTGTCCCTGCTATACACAGGTATGCCATCAAAGAACAGTAATATGAATTTTCTCAAATAATCACTAAATATCATTCATCAATGATTGAAAAAGTAGATGGAGCATTAATTAGGCCAAAAGGCATAACTAAGAATTTGTAGTGCCCATGATGAGTCCTCAAGGTGGTTTTGTGCTCATCTCCAGCTTTAATTCTGATATGATAATATTCTCACTTCGGGTCCAACTTTGAAAAATTGTAGCACCTCCCAATTCATCCAGCAACTCATCCACTGTCGGTATTGAATATTTATCAGGCACTGTGACCCTGTTAAGAGCTCAGTAATTGATGTAAAACCTCCAGCTTTTGTCTTTCTTTTTAACAAGTACCGGGCTTGAAAATGGGCTACTACTAGGCCTTATGATTCCTGCTTCAATCATCTCTTTCACCATCCTCTCAATTTCAGTTTTATGCAGGCAGGGGTACCTGGGCCTCACATTAGGTATTAGAGCACCTTCTTGCAGCACGATAGCTTGATCTTTAGGTCGGTAAGGGGTAGAGTAGCGATAGGTTCGCACACCTTGCTATACTTTTGTAGTAATCCCTATATTTTGAGAGGAATGTGGGCATCATTAATAGCCTCCTCAGCCTGCAAGCTCACAATATTGATTTCTAGCGGATACCCTTTGAAATTTCCTTGGAGAATTTTTTGGCAAGCCTTATAAGATGCTTGCATATGCGTTAATGTTGGGTCCCCTCCAAACAGACCCGCTATTCACTAACTCTCACCTTCATGTAGAGTTGCCCCCAGTTCACTCTAACTTATACCAAGGACTCTAACCAAGCGACTCCAAGGACTAGATCAATATTAGCTAACGGGAAAGGGTAGAATGTTTGAGTCACATTTAGTCTCTGCAACTTCAACTTCAAGTTTTGGTGGGTAACACCTTCACCCCCAACTCTTTAACTGATGTGAAATAAATTACGGATAGCTCCACTGTCAATCAAGACTACTATCGACTTGTCATTGTGGTTCCCTTCATCTTCATGGTTTTGTAGCTCGAGATACCCAGTATCATGTTATGGGAGAGCTCCATTGTAGCATATTCTTTCTTAGCCTCATCTCGCTCCAACTCCTCAAAATCATGCTCTCCAATCTTACCTTTGTTATCTTCGTCAATCACCATTAGTTGTAACTGTTTCGACTTGCACTTGTGATTTGGGTTCCACTTCTCGTTTGGTACCTCAATTACTATTGTTGCCATTGCTCATCATCAAAAGTCGAAGAAGCCATTGGGTTGCATGCCGCCTTAGAAGTTTTGATGCTCTTGTTGTTTTCGCGACTCCCAGATGTCGTGCTAGGGCTCTTAGATACTTTGGTGAAGGATGGAAATCTAGGCTGTAGTGAGATTGGGCTCATCCATTTAGCTAGGTTTTCCTTGTGCCTTAATTTGGATTTGCGTTTCTGATTGGCCTCCTCTAAGGTTTGGTTTCTTCCCTCTATTTTGGTAGCCTTATCCATGAGGTCCTCTAAATTATTGGGCTTCAAAACCCTAACGTCAGCCTTAACTTCCTCCTTGAGCCTATTCATAAACATACCCATTAAGGACGCCTTTGGCACATCATCTAGCTTAAATCATCTCAAAAGTTTCCTGGAACTCTACCACCATCTTACTTTGCTTCAGTCTGGCAAGCCTTTCATGATTATTTCCTGTTTGAACCGCATGGAACCACTTAACCACACTCTGCTTGAACTCCTTCCAACTTGCAATTAGCGACCTTATCTCAGTCCATTGGAACTAATTCAGGGCTTTTCCTTCCAAGCCCACCACGACAACGTCTAGTTTCTCCATCTTCGATACTCTGTTAATGGCAAAGTGCCTCTCCATTCGAAAGGTCCACCTAATTGGATCCTTACCACCAAATATCGGCAAAGTGCCTCTCCATTCGAAAGGTCCACCTAATTGGATCCTTACCATCAAATATGGGCATCTCTAATAGCCTCTATTTTTGGGTATCTTTTTGTCCCACCCCTTCAGTCCCTCTATTCCTTCCTCCTTCGGTATTGCGAGGTCATTCTTTATGTCTCGAAGTTTAAAGGTTCTTGGTTTCCGTGTGGTCACCCCTAGGTAGCCTTTGTTCGAGCAGTCTGAAGATGTTAGTGGTCTGCTCTTGCAACTATGATATAGCCCTCTACATCATGGCTCTTTCTTCCTTAGCCTTAGTGTTGCTTCTCTGTAACTCCCCAACAATATGTACCATTCCCTGCCAGTCATTAACACCCTTCTCAACATTTTCCAATCTGACCTCCATCCTTGTGCTCACCATCCACAAGAAGGGCTTGCTCCCAATATTGATGGAACTATAAGTTTTATTGCCCGGCAATATGATGATCAACTGGCTACAACCTCTTCTATGGGTTGTGGAAGAGGAAAAACAATAAAAATATAGCTAACTATAACCAATCCAGAATTATAGTGAAAGAAGGAACACAAAGTTAGAACTAGCAAACCAATCCTCCAAACGTTCGAGAGCTTAGGAGCCCTCCATGGCCTTCCAAGTTTCTACATGCCTTCCCTTCGGGCACACTCCCTTACATAACCGTCTCGCCACTACTTTGACCCTTGTTGACCCCTATCTGGGCTTGTCTCCCTTCTATGGTCCCTTTCTCTTCACTAACTCTCCTAATCCGCCCATGGGCTTACTCTTGCATTGCTTCCTCTTGTATGTTTGGGCCAATACAAAGTTGGGCTATTAGACTGTAAATAATAATATTTTGCATCTATTCTTCTATTCATTTCTTTTTCTTTTTTTTTAAAAGAAACACCTAACACCTGTTGAGAAGTTTAGATAATCAGTGTTATCAACGGCAGCATCTACAGAAGAACTGATGTGGCAAGTGGGATTTTTGCATTAAAATCTTCATTGGCATGCCATGCCTTGTTCTTTGTGTCGGAACTCTAAGAATGGTGGTTTGCAACTAAGGAGTCCACCTTGGTGAACTTTGTTGACTAAAGGAGATTCCACTTCTTGATCTCCTGTGTGTTACTGCATTTAGCCATTTAAGAACCTCCAGGAGTCTGTAATTCTTGATACTCCACAAAAATTGAAGGGTTTTTCTATATTAAATCCTTAGTGAATTACCAACAAGCTGTTGGTTGAGGTGGTAGCAGCCTCACTCTCGTAAGGAGGAGAACACAAGTTCGAATCTCAAAAAGCGCACTTGCTGGGAAGGCTATTCCTTAACTGCTCCAGGCCTGAAAGGGATTAGTCTCAAATCCTGTGACTTGGGGATACCCTTGTTTCATCTAGGAAAAAAAAAAAATCCTCTAGTGAATTGCTATGTCATTTGTATTGATATAAACTTGAAGTCAAGGGGAAGTTTCTTTCTCGCTAAGCTCATTGTTGCAAGCGGTAGCAAGGTTGGCTGCTGATAGAGCCTGAACAGAAATAGTAGAGAAACAACACCGAAACTGGATTAAATCACTATAATATCCCTCCAATAAGAGGAAAAAGTTAAAATAGTAAGGAAAAAACACAGATAAAATGACGAAGAAAGGCTATCTTCCTCCACCCCACACTGGCATTCAAAAGGCCAAAGCTTTCCTCACTACTCTTACAATACAAAATATGTCCAACACCCTCCCAACAACAGCATCGGCCTAAAAAGACAACTAATACAGTCCCCAAAATCCCCTTTTGACCATAGGCAGATCTGAAACATCCTAAACAATAGTAGCTTTCTGCTCTTTCTCTAAAATAGTATGGTCAACATCTTGGTTATTAGAAAGTAACTCCCCTGCATGAATCTTTTGTCTTGCCACTAAACAATAACCAGAATTTGGACTAGTTGGCTAAGATGGTGGAACCAAAAGCTCTGGAGTTATTAATGCTGGTAAAGGGATGAGTGACAGTGGCAGTGTCAGAGGGACATGAGATTGACCAGCTGGTTTCTCACTTTTATGTTGGAACTGTTGGTGTTTTCTTCATTCTATTGGAAGGCACTAGGACATGATATGTGGCACTTTGTTCATACTTGGTGGGCTTGGCAATGTTCAAAACCTGAAACCCCCCTCCGCCAAAGAGAAAGAATAAACACCAAACAAAGATGTCTGCTCCAGCCATTTCCAGTAAGTGAAGCCATCTAGTTTGAACTCTCCAGGATTTTTATTTGTAGGCTCCAAAAATGATATGGTGGGCTCCATCATCGTATATGTTGGTGATAGGCTCCTAGCTGATGGGCCGAGGTTAAGTCACATGAAGGGTGCGAACTGGGGTTTTTTTTTTTTTGGGCCGGGGGTGGGGATGATTTTTTAAGTGAGAGAGAGCATAGGTTAGTAGTGAGGATTATATGCGAGGTGAGGGGTTAGACAGGTCATGCAATTAGTGCATGTGCGCCAGAGCTGTGTTTCTGGTTCATATTTTGAATTTGTAGAATCTGCTACTCTGACAGATTTCCATTTTCTGTGTGAATTGAGCTTTGGGTCATGGGTTGGTATTAGAGTGGTAACTATCTAGGAAGAGAATGAAATCAAGAATGTTCAGTGTGAAATTTTGGAGAATCATTGTTACATGGAAGCTGGAAAAATATCAATGAACTGTGGATAGGATCATAGAAGTGTTTAAAGATATACAAGAATTGCTGATGGATATAAAGGAAGAGTTACAGAAAGAGCGGGAGCAAATTGAAGAGAAGAAGCTGAAACACAAATAGAGGACCTATTTCCGATGAAGGCTCGTCAGATGAAGTAGTTGAGGAAGAGTTGCAGCTATAGGGGTTTGAAGACAAGGAAGAGAATCTTGAAGAAGGCTGTGTTACCACATTTGTTATCATAGTGGTCAACGAGTAACAAATGAGAAGAAGGAATAACATCACGGCATTGAATTTTAGGCACCCATGAATAACTGCCAAGCTGGCAATTCATCATCCAACAATGAAGTTCAACTGAAAGAAAGAAATCAGGCAAAACACGGTAGTGTGATCATCAAAGCTGAATTCTGTCAGAGACCGAGAGAACCAATGATAACAGTAGCAAAGGTTGGAGAAACAAGTGGGTCTTAGACTGGTTTAGGGAAATCTGGCAGAGCAGATGCCCGAAACTGCACCGTGTTAAAAAATGTTACAGGGCTCTGGAAAAGAAATGTGATACGAAAGTTGTGAATGCGTTGTTGGGATTAGGGAAGCAGTTTAGTAGTTAGGGGACATGTACCATTGATGGCCATCGGATGGCTGTCTAAAATAAGCATTGGCATTCTATTGTAGATTTGAATCTCAATTGCTAATGAAAGTCATTGCAGTGCTCTCTCTCACTCTATATATATATATATATATATCATCTCTCCTCTCTTCCTTCCTAACTTGCTTCCTCTCTTTCTTCAACCCTTTATCATATCAATGGTGTCAAAGCAGCTTTCCTTGGAAATGGGATGGCCAATGGGACTTGGCCTCAAGTGGGCCTCCGTTGCGTGGGAGTCACTTATGCAAATATGATCAGTTTCATCTTATTAGCCAATTATCTTGTATAATTTCTTTACACGTGTTTTGCTTTGAGGTTAATATTATCTTAACTGTTATCTTTGCTTGCTTTTCATTTCAGGAAGTTATAAATGATGAGGATGAAAAGCTCAAATCTCTGAGGAAAGATCTGGGTGATGGAGCATATGAGGCTGTGGTAGCAGCTTTGACTGAGATAAATGAATATAACCCAAGTGGAAGGTATATAATCAGAGAATTGTGGAACTATAAAGAGGATAGGAGGGCAACGTTGCGTGATGGAGTAGCTTTCCTATTGAAATATTGGAAGAGACTCAGAAGCGAGAGGGGTGCAGCATGAATATTGGTATGTTCCGTTTAATTATAATCAGATTAGTGTTTCAATCAGAGTCTTCCTAATGTGGACTGTATTGCTGGATCAGTCGGTACGCGGCGTAAGTGCTTTGACAATGACTAACCAACCACGTAGGCAATAGGCTCTGTTTGATTCAGAATGAATATATATATATATATATATATATATTCCTTCATTTCTTATCAGATTAGTGTTTCAATAACTGTCTTTCAAATATGGATCATATTGCTGAAGGGCTGATGCTGGTTACAGGAATGAATACTCTCTTGGCATGAGGGGGCCAAATGTGCTTTGAAGCTGGTCCAAGTTTCTGACGACTCTAATAATTTAATTTGCGATGGTCTTAGAGGTCTAGACAAATAAGGATAATGTTTAAACTATTGAATTTAACTTGGAATTTTATGCTCCAACTATGGGGCGTCTGACTGAAACTCAAAACTCCATGCAAATAAAACAGCCCATTAGTTGTCTTTAGTGTGCATAAAGAGAAGGATTTTTCAATAATTTTCCGTTGGTTTGATGTACTTTATCTGCTAGTCATGCTTCTACTTGATCTTTGAAAATGCCCTTAATTCAACAAGAGAATGTTGTTATTAGTTGTTGCACCATTTATGTGTTGAGAAACTCGATGAAAATGAAGTGTCCATTACTATCATTAATCTCTTGTACTATGTCATGACATAAAAATTGATCCTTATTTTGCCAGTTTTGAGCTATTTCTGTCATATATCATCTCTCTTACTCTCATTTCCCTCAAATATTAGTCCCTTTGTAAAAGCTAACCGTAATAATATCCTTTTTCCTGAAATTTAACGGACATGGTAAGGACCTATCTTTTGAGTTGGAAGAAGCTTTGCTTAGAAGGAGGAATTGGCTTGACATTTTTGGTATTTGTTACGAGGCCCCTGATTTTTGGGTAAATTAGGTATGACCCTCTTATAAAGTACTTATTTGCTTCTTAATGTAAGACTAAATTAACTAATTTGAGTAAATTAAGATTGTCAATTACATTAGTTAATATGGTGTGTTTTTTCTCGAGTATCTTTTTTAACCCTCTCTTTCCTACTTGATTATTATTGGGAGAATATTAATAGGGTTAACCTAAAAAAAAATTGATAAACATGTAAAATAGGTTTTATATATAGGATTAATATCAACTCTTTGATTAGATTTTACATTAAGAATTTGGGAAGTAGAAATCAAGAAAATTCCCGAACTTTTTTGTACGATATAAATAATCAAATTATGTAGGTAAACGGGTTAAAATGAGGTAAATGATATGAATATACAAAAATGCAACTTAATTTTCAAAAGCACTCCTATTTATAGAGAGAGAGAGAGAGAGAGAGAGAGAGAGAGAAGAGAGAATGACTATATAAGAATATGAAATAATTAATGTAAGGAGATTAATCAATATGGGGGTAAAAAACAAGAAATGGTAGTAAGTTTTAGATAACAAAGGTTGAAGCATCCGGACTAAACGGAAAGGCTCATATTGTTACTGGTTAATTTTTTTCCTGAAAATCCCCACACATAAACATAAATCGTTACTGGTTAAATTTCTTGACCTGAGACCATGTTATTCTAAGGAGAGCGAATTCCAGCTACACCCTTAAGAGTAATATACGAGGAAAATCTTTGGAAGATCATATAACCAACGAGAATTAAGCAACAAGACAATCCGTCTAAGTTCGAAGCATAGTTGCATGTATAATGCAGATCTGTTATTTTGAGAATCATTTCAGTATAATCATTTATAAATTGATAAACATGTAAAATGCCCTCCCTTCCCTCCAAATAACAAGGACTTTTATAAATATAAGGCTATCGTAATCATTTTACAATTTATAATTAATTTAAAAATAAAATTGATTTAATCATTCCATTCAAATATTAATCTATACTAAATATAATTTTAAAGTTCTGTCCCACTCCAAAATCCCTTTGTCACACCCAATCTCATTCCTATTCCTTTTTTTGTACTGTGCATAGATATTTTCCTGTTAAAAGTAATCTATTTAAAATATTATTAGTAAACACCTCTTTTATAGAGAATTTAAATTTTAGTTTGTCGTACCAAGTCTCATGCTCATTCTTAGTCCATCAAAATTGAGACCCATGTACCACACATGACTTCAAAGTCTTTTGAGGTGCTGGCCCACAAGACTTTTAAAATGCTTATTGGATACAAAAAGTCATGGGACCTTTAAGACCTTTCCGAGCTGTCGCTGGACAAAATTTTGCCCTACTAACAATATAATTCATTTTTTTGGGTCCAAAAACAATCTAATTCATTATTAACCACAAAACAAACAAATCAATGTCAAATAAAAGCATTAATATTGCAAATCGTATGCCCCATTCTGCTATTTAATATAAGAGCTGTTTAATAAATTTGGGTATATTAAGAAAGCCAAATAAACGAATTAATTATTACAAACATACCTTGAAATATCCCTATATAATATAATATTATATATCAATTAATAAGTTAGTTAAATCAAACCCCAACTAGTTTTTATATTAAAAATTAGACGTATCAAAGAGTTATCTATCGAAATAATACTCTTATTGATCTATTAATAATAAGTAGGTTGACGCCAGGAAAATTAGTAATGTGTTAGGAGAAACTGGTACAAAAAGCTGTGGATACACTTCTTAATGATGGAATTCACAGACAACCAATGAATGACGGTCATAATAAGGCTTACAAGTTGTTTTTAGATGTAATTGAGTGGAATCCTTACATTTACATCCCAAGGATAAGAAAACACCAAGCCAATTAAAACTCTTATTTTCAGCATTTGGAAAGGAGAAGACCATGTTAGAGGTACCTATACATTTTTCAATTTTTAATTTGATACCTATGTGTTTTTTTCTCTTAATTAAATCTTTAATTTTGCTCTATTAATATCGTTAATACTTGCATAGAAATTAAAAATGCTAATAGAACAAAGTTACAAAAACTGCTGTTACTAAAAAATAAAATTAAATAATTTAATTAAGAAGAAAAGACACAGATACTAAACTAAAAATTGAAAGAAATTATAGGTACCTCCAATATAGTTTTTCTTTGGAAGGAAAACATAAGATTCATTTTCTTTATTTATTTAAGTAATGAAGCCTAAGGAGGGCGTGGAAATGTATCCAAAGCTGGCCTTTGTTTGGAAAAAAAAAAACTTGAAGAAAAGTATATTACATAAATTAGTTGTAAGTTTTGCAAATCAATAGAAAATGACTGTCTAATTAAGATCTGATTATCTAATTAACTCAAATCATTAAATCATGAACTATGATTTCTTTCAATTTTCAAAACATGAATTTCTAATAATTCACCATCATTTAAATAAATTATAAATATGAATATTTATTAACATAAGTTGATCCAATTAGCAAGGAATTAGCTTCATATATATAGTACAAAAACGTGAATTCAAATTAAGCTCATGATATGAGAATTTTATTAATAATTATTATGTAAGTATTTTTGAAAGTGTTCTTTAAGCATATTGTAGTCTTAGAAAATTTTTGAAATGCAACTAAACTTACTTTCAAAAGGAAAAATAGTAAAAAAAGATACATATTGAATTTTAAAATAACAAATAGATAATCTTGACAAATTCTGACTTGTCTAAACTATTTCAAGAGTAATCAATATAACCTATATATCTTTTTCAAATTCAACAGGAATTTTTTTTATTATGTTTCCCCTCCAAAAACTTTTCCATATATGTCATTTAAGCTAAATTGCAAATTTGGAAAACATACTCTGAAAAAGAAAAAAAATATAAAAACACATCTAAATTTTATTCATTAAAAAAAATGAAGAATCCCTAGGCAAACTTTTATCTTTGGTCCAAAATATAAGATGTTACTCTTCTGGTCCTATTTATAGGGTAAAAAGAGAAAATTTTTTGATCCTATTTAGAGGTCACTTCATTAAATTTTCAACATGAATATGCTAATTTATCCTTCATTTATTATAATGTAGGTAGTTATCTCTTTTGAAAGGTGTATATATTAAATATGAGTAAATTTAAAAATTGTTATATTTTAATGGAAAGTTAATGCATTTTAAGAGGTTTTTTTTTGTCTATGTGAAATATGCTGAAAGTGCCTTATAAATAGAATCAGATTAGTATTAATTAATTTACACAAACCGGTAGGCTATTAAATAAGGAGTATCAAATTGATAAAATTTACCTATTTTATCCTTATTAATGAATTTGGTTGAAAAATAATAAATTACTTTTCAAATATGCTTTTATTATTTATCACATCTCTCCTCTCTCTCATGCGTTTAAAACTCTTTCTCAGGGAAAAGTGAAAAACTATATTTAACTATCCTGTCAACCTCTTACATTTGAACCAAAATTTCTTTTAAGAAGACTTCTTATATTTTGAATAAGAGAAAATAGTTGAAATTGTCTTCATTAGCTTAATGACTAATTAGCTAACCAATCAGTATAGGACTAGAAATCTAGAATCTCTCCGTTATTCTTTCCGTCCTCTTTTCCTCCACTACTCTTCTTTTCCCTTCACAATCATTGAATCAAAATTCCAATGGTTTATATTTAACATTTTATAAAAATAAATATTATTACAATTTTAGATAAAAGATGTATAAATAAATTTAAACAGTCAAAATTTGATATGAACAATTCACATATGTAGATCGTTATCATAAAGCAAATTTTTTCCAATTTCTTCATTATAGAGTTGTAAACTGTTCAAATCAAATTTCACTAGTTTAAGGCATCTTTAGCTTATTTAAGTGATTATAAGCACACTTTATATAAGCCGAGACAAAAATCCTCTCAAATACTTATCTCGTATTCCATAAATTATTTATCATAAAGCTGCTTATATGCTATTCTGAATAATCCCTAAATTTATTTATATATTTTTTATTTAAAATTATGATACTCCTTCCAGTCCTAAAAATAATACCTATTTTAGAATATAAATTACACTATAAAATATGTTTTATATTTAGAATCAGACGATTAATATTTGTTTTTATAAAATATTAAATTTAGACTATTGAAATTTTGATCCAATAATCATGACAGGAGAAAACGGACGGCGGGTATTAGGGAGAAACGAACTCCGTGGGTAAGCGCATTCGCTTCTTTGAAAATATGCTGGGTTGTGACTCGAGACCATTTAGTTCCCCATGACAAGGTCCGCGATCTTAATTAATTGCGTAAATGTATTTTCCCTTTCAATAAAGAGAGGCTGCCCTGAATACGTAACGTAGGCCAGCCTTTACACACCACTAAAGAGAATCTTGAAGGATTTTGGGCGAAAGCAAGATTGATTTTTATAAAAGTGGGGCCTATGAAAGATTCCCTTGCGTCTCCCATTTTGAAAGGTCACCACTAAACCTCTCTTATGGCCTATCTTATTAATTCAAGCGAATCTGCAATCAATAATTTTGCATCTAATATATAGGCAAATAGAATAATCTGCATTTTTAATTAAAATACTATAAACAGTAAAAGTAATTTTTCAAATACTACGTTGTGAGAACTATTTACTAATATGCTGTGAACTTCGGCTCTGACAATTTCTTTTTGGGTGAACTGACATTTACTTTTTTAAAAGCAAAAAATTGGAACTCAGTTCAGGCTGTGAATGAGTTCAATCTTCTTCTTTTTCATTTTAGGTGAAAATTATAATTAAATACCTCGTTTCATGTGCATTTGCCACACATCCTGCCTTTTGCATTTTGGAGGAAATTATAGTTGCTACGCCATTCCCTTCATATCTATTGCTCCATTTTCTTTTGCTCTGTATCTCCTTTTAAATAAGAAAAATATAATTAGATTTTGTAGCAAAATTAATTTCTATCTTGACACTTAAATTTAGAAGAAATTAATTAATTAATTATAACATAAATTTATAGATATTTTTTTTTATCTCTAATATATCCAAAGCTCTAATTTAGGGGAATAAATTAATTAATTAAATTAATTTTTCAGTGATTATTTATCAAATTATTCTAATTTAGGGGAAATAAATAAATTAATTAAATTACCTCTTCAGTGATTGTTTATCAAATTATTCTTTTTTTATGAGACAAATTATTCTAATTTAGGGGAATAAATAAATTAATTACATTAATTTTTCAATGATTATTTATCATATTATTTTGAGCGATTTCGTGTACTTAAAGTTTTTAATATTTTTATTTATGTGTAGATTTGGATATATTAGAGATCAGAAAAGATCTATAAATATTTTATACTACATTATATAATGGGTTAATATAATCTCTAATTCTCAAGTTGGGACAAATTTTAGTTTTAGTCCCTCGATTTTGGAATAATGACTTTTGATTCTTGAAGAGACAAAATTGGTCAAGTTTTTATTAAATTATAAAGATCAATATTTTAAATAAAAAAAATTTAAGGGACCAAAATTCTATAATTTAATTGTTAGAGTGGAAGTTTATCACAGCCTAAATGAGCTCTATAAAATGCAGCCACGGTGTAATATTTGGGAAATTACCTTTACTGTTTATAATATTTGGATAAAAATGCCTAATATCATAATCCTCTTCTTAAAGAATAAAAAAATTGCTTGTAGTCCATGTGAAAAAAAATTGCACATGGTATTTGAACAACGACTAGGGTATTCATAACTTATAAAACTTGAATTTTAAATTAAAAATTATTTATTGAACAAAAAGGCCATCAAAACCTTCCCATATGTATTTAATATTATATTTTATAAACATATATACACACACATATTAATTATTAATTAATTATATAATTAATAAATTAGTCTTATATATGTTTACTCTTTTTTTTTTAATATTATGATATGATGTAAAAAGTCCTATAGTACACCTCATTATGACGGGTAGATGTAATAGTAGACGTAATTATGACTTGACATTTAATAATTACAACTATTAACTACCAACTACTCTCATAATGACACCTAATAATGGTAACTACTCTACTTATTACAAGAGGACGAAATAGACTACAGGACAAACTATTTTAATAAAGTAAAAGTGGATGGCGACATAAAGTAGGATTCTGATGGATCCCACTTTATCTTCAGAGTATCCCAAAAGGAGATTTTCTGATAATGATGTTCCCTAGTTTTTATAGATAGGCTCGTGGCTAGGGGATAGGTTCATGATACCTTCTGGGTCAGGGTCATCTGAGTCATAGTGTCTCCTTGAGTAGTAGTAGTATTCGAGCTCTGGATCAGGGTCGTTTTGGTTAGGATCCTGGGATTCTCCTGCAAGGAATGGGAGTTGTGGCTGGAAACTTGGCTGAGGGAGATAGAGTCCTTCAGGCTGAGTGAGTTGGATCTGTGAGTCTTCTTGATAAGGGTCTTCAGAGGCTTCTGTCTGTTGAGGGACCTGTGACCTATTTGGTGGAAGTCTGACAGCACTCATGATGAAATCTCTCTGGAATTCTTCAAGTGTTGTATTGCTGGCTGACGGTGAGATTGGAGAAAGGTCCAAGAGAAAGGCACGAAGTGTCTTCTCCTGTGTCAGGCTGGTTTAGTGCAGTTAATGTCTTCCCAATTTTTTCCATTAATAATGCTTCCTTTCTTGGCCATGAGGGGGTGGTGACCTGAAGGATCAGACGGTTGTCTGTGTAAAGCCTCTGGTTAGCACTTATACCATAGTTCCTGAAAAAGGTATACAGACAGAAAAATCTTTTTTGTTTGGGAGTTGGTAAGTTCCAGATATTATGTTCCTTGAGAATTTTCCAAAGTTTTCCTCTCCAGTAGGGAAGAGGAGCAAGCATCTCAAAGAGTGAGGTAAGAGGAGAATTTTCATTTCTGAAGTCATTCAGGTGATCATGAACGACTACAGCTGAGAAGGCTATGGCACAGGTATAATTGGTTGAGACAAACCAGATGTACCATAAAAGTTCCTCTGGTATGGGTCCTTTGATGATGGGAACAGTGAGGTAAGGAGCATCGGCATCAAAGTGCTGGGGTTAAGGATGAATTCCGGTGTCTACAAAAACACGGTGGAGCCAATAGAACATGGTGCTCCTGGCAAGGTTTTGGACATCTGCTGGAGATTCAGGACGGGACACTCCAGCCTATGTTCCATCTAAGCGAGACCCTCCAATTGCTTGGGTAGACCAGAATGCCAAGCCATGTTATGTGTCTCATATAAATGGCCATTTCATTTGGGATCATGCACTAGAAGAATGTGATCCTGATTGTGAGTGTGATACACCTTACTGGTGGGAAGCGTCTCACGATGAAGATGAAGCTGGATGGTCTTACCCCATCAGATATGCCATAAAAAAGAAGAAAAAGGAGAAGAACACATCTCCTTGTTCCCATAAACATTACCATCATCACCATGATGATGATGATCACGGTCCGAAGCAGAAAGCTAGAAACTGGAAGGCTCCTGTCCCTACTGTTCCTTCTAGTAGATTATCTCTGTATGATTTGCTGAAAGAAACAGGACATGAAAATCTCCTCCCTAAACAGAGGCCAGATCCAGTGATTCCTGTCATCCAACAATCCATCCCGTGTATAGCAATGATGGATCCGTATGAGCAGGACTTCCCTCCTCTTGAAAGAAGAACCAACAAGGAAACAAAGGTTACAGCAAGACCTTTCTCTATTCCAATAGAAATCTCTCCTACTGGTGAAGCTAGACCAGTCTCAGCAGCAGAAGAAGTTCTTAACTGGCAGACCCAGAATGCGATCGGCCAGAATAGAACTCTGACAAGGATTGATTCAAAGCTTGACCTGCTGACTCTTAGAACTGATACTCTGACGAGCAGGCTTGACCAAGTCTCTGATCAAGTCAAACAGCTTTATATGACTCTGACTTCTCAAGCTTATCAACTGGATGCAGATTTGAAGCGGTTTATCGAGAAAGGGTATATTGGACCAGAGTTTACTAAGAAAGAGCAAGAACTGTCACAAATCCGAAAGGATTTGCAAAGAATCGAGTCAGACATCGCTAAAGATCATTCACAAACCATCTATGACCCTTATCCATCTTACCCTTCTAGTTTCCAACTTCCCACATATCCAACATCACCTCTTTCTTATCCCAGAGAATCTGATTACAGCAAGGTTTTCAAAATGTCTTATCCTATTTTAAGACAATTGAGAAAACCCCGACAACCAACTCTTTCACCTATCCAGCCAAACCCTCCTCCCAAACCTCTAGTACGACCACCTCACTTCCCTTCATCTGAAAGACTTTTCTACTCATCATCCTCATACACTAAACCTATTGAACCAACACCATCCTCTCAAGGAGTTGTAATAAGAACTCCACCATCATCTCCACCAAAACAAACTTCTCTTCCAGATAAAGAAAAAGGAAAAGAAGTTGCTGACCCAAACAAAACCATAGCCACTTTCCAATCCGTGAACAAAGATCAATCATCAACAGATGGAACCTCTGAAACTGAGTCTGATTCCTCTATTGAATACAGTTTTGATTCTGAGGCATATCATGCTGATATCTCTAAAGTAGCAATGGTCCAACCAGATCCTACAGTTGAAGACCCTATTGATGAAGACCCATTTGTTCCTCATACGTCTGAGCCAAGAAGAACAGACTATAAACCTACTACAGGTCCATGTTTCACTTTTGATGATCTCCCTCCAGAAAAATAGAGAGACAGACTCCATGAGTTCGGGCATGGATTGACCTGCAGCTTGCCAGGCATGATGCAACTCTTGAAGAAGTTCTTACATAATTTCTCTCAAGACAAACAGGAACACTAAGAGAATGGTATCAAAGTCTCAGTGATTACCAGAAGATGGCAGCAGCCAGAGTTGATAATGCAGGAACTCTTTTGGGACTCATTCACAAGGAATTCATTGGTGATTTCTAGATCATTGACAAAAGGCATCGTCAAGAATACTTCGAGATGAAATGCTGTTCTTTGGACAAAAGAGACTTGCAGAAACATTTTCAGAGAATGTCTGAAAAATATTACATGCTTGGAGGAGCTAATGATGTCAATCTCAGGCATACTTTTATTGCCTCTCTTCCAGATGAACTGCAACCAGAACTTCATAGAGCTATCAATGCACTCCACAGAAACATGGCTGACATTTCCATTGGAGAAATATATCAGTTGGCATTAGCAACTGTGGATAACCTCTGTGAACAACAGAAGTTCTTCAAAGGAATGCTGAAAGGACAGTCAAAGCTCAGGCATGCTTGCAAGAAACCGCATCTGAAAATAAAGTGCAAAGATGATAAAGATTGCTCTTGTTCTACCAAGAGAAAATCTCATTATCGTCGATTCAGATATCCAAAGGGTTCTTATTCTAGGAGAAGATCCAGAAAGCCTTTCTTGAGATATTTTAAGAGGCGCAAGCCTTATTCAAAGAAATCTGACCGATGTTACGTATGCAAGAAAAAAGGACATTTTGCAAAAAATTGTCCTAACAAGACAAAAAAGGATGTGAAGATGCTGGAACATTTGCAGACTGTTCTCATGATCAACGAAGATGAAGATATAGAATCTGTGATTGAAGAACAAGATGCTCAGAATGAAGAAACACAATATGTTCTTCCTTTCTCTGAAGATGAAGAATTTGATTCTGAATCCTTATCCCAAGAAGATGATGATCCTCAAGGGTATTTATATTCCCTTGAACAGCCTGTGCATCCGTCTTCTTTCCTTGGTTCCCTGGCTTCCCAGCCAGATCACAACAAAGTCACTCCCAAGCCAAATGTCAAAATTCATATCCTTCCAGGAAGATATGAAAAGCCAATTCCTGTTATTGCTTTTATTGATACTGGAGCATGCAGAACCATCATGAATCCTGATATTCTTCCTTCTGAAGCATGGATCCCTTGTGATCAATTTTTCCTTACTGCTAATTCAAAACCATTCAAGATTGAATGGATCACTCGCAGGAAGATTGGTATTCAATTCTTTCCAGGATGTGTTCTATGGATGAAAGTTCTTGGTAGTGATCTCCCGGGGAAAGATATTCTTATTGGATTCGATACTTATTACCATACTAGGAATCTTCAAGTCTTGCCTAAAGGAATTAGATATAAAAATTTCTTTAGTGCATATACTGAAATTCCTAATCTTTTTTAGATCCAACAAGCACCACCAGGATATGAAGATATTCGAGATCATCTTCTCAAGTTTTGCGCTGATAGTCATCAACAGTTCTCTCATCCATTTCCATTATGGAAAAATCAAGAGTTTTTCATAAAACTCCCCTTCAAGAAGAATGAAGATATTAGTCCCACAAAAGCCTCTCATCCAGGAATGAATCCAGAAGATCTCAAACTCGCTAAAGAAGAATGTGCTGCACTTCTCAAACAAGGCCTTATTGAACTAACAAAATCTAATTGGGCTTGTCAAGCATTCTATGTTGAAAAAAGATCAGAAATCAAAAGAGGGAAGAAAAGGTTAGTCATCGACTATAAGCCTCTTAATATTTTCCTTCAAGATGACAAATTCCCTTTACCAAAGCCCAGTTCACTTACAGTCCATCTTAAAGATGCAAAAATCTTTTCCAAGTTTGACCTCAAAGCAGGATTTTGGCAATTGGGTATTCACCCAGAAGATCGACCCAAAACTGCTTTATGTATTCCAAACGCCCAATACCAATGGACTGTCATGCCATTTGGGCTTAAGGCCGCCCCATCACTGTTCCAAAAGGCCATGACCAGAATCTTTGAACCTATGCTTGATAACCTCCTCATTTACATTGATGACCTTTTACTTTTCTCAAAAGATGAGGATTCCCATAAACTTTTATTAACCCAGTTCGGGGAAATAATTGAAAAATATGGGATTATGTTGTCGGCAAAGAAAGGAGAAATAGGTGTTAAGAGCATAGAGTTCCTTGGAATGCATTTTGAAAATGGTCAATATTATCCTGGACCACACATTATAGAAGAATTACTCAAATTCCCAGACGATAATCTCACAACAAAGCAAATCCAACAATTTCTGGGGATTATTAATTATCTTCGGGATTTTATCCCTCATGTGTCAAATCATACCAGCCAGCTGTCCAAACTTCTCAAAAAGAATCCTCCCGCGTGGGGGACAGAGCAGACCTCAGCTGTCAAGACCCTTAAAAGAATTGCACAGCAACCACCTCCTTTAAAGATTCCTGACAAGGGACTGCGAATCCTCCAAACTGATGCTAGTGATGACTTTTGGGGAGCTGTCTTGATTGAAGAGATAGATGGAAAGAGATTTTACTGTGGACATGCAAGCGGACAATTCAAAGAGTCAGAAAAGCATTATCATGCTACCTACAAGGAGATCCTTGCTGTCAAAAGAGGAATCGAGAAGTTCAGCTTCCATCTCAGTCCGTATCAATTCAGAGTAGAAATGGACAATACGTCTTTTCCAAGAATGCTTGATCCCAAGGGAAAGACTTTGCCAGACAGCCAATTACTCCGGTGGAAAGACTGGTTCTCTCGCTATAAATTCACCATCCATCATCTCAAAGGTCACCAGAACATCATAGCAGATTTCCTCACAAGACCTCAGAAAGTTTCCCAGCCTCCGAAACTCTTGTCACTCTCCAGACCTCAACCTCTTTTCATCCTAACCATCTCTGAACCAGAAATGCCTCACAGAATGAGAGCCACCATTTTCCCTCCTGGATCCCGTCCTGAATCTCCAGCAGATGTCCAAAACCTTGCCACGAGCACCATGTTCTACTGGCTCCACCGTGTTTTTGTAGACACCGGAATTCATCCTTAACCCCAGCACTTTGATGCCGATGCTCCTTACCTCACTGTTCCCATCATCAAAGGACCCATACCAGAGGAACTTTTATGGTACATCTGGTCTGTCTCAGCCAATTATACCTGTGCCATAGCCTTCTCAGCTGTAGTCGTTCATGATCACCTGAATGACTTCAGAAATGAAAATTCTCCTCTTACCTCACTCTTTGAGATGCTTGCTCCTCTTCCCTACTGGAGAGGAAAACTTTGAAAAATTCTCAAGGAACATAATATCTGGGACTTACCAACTCCCAAACAAAAAAGATTTTTCTGTCTGTATACCTTTTTCAGGAACTATGGTATAAGTGCTAACCAGAGGCTTTACACAGACAACCATCTGATCCTTCAGGTCACCACCCCCTCATGGCCAAGAAAGGAAGCATTATTAATGGAAAAAATTGGGAAGACATTAACTGCACTAAACCAGCCTGACACAGGAGAAGACACTTCGTGCCTTTCTCTTGGACCTTTCCCTCCAATCTCACCGTCAGCCAGCAATACAACACTTGAAGAATTCCAGAGAGATTTCATCATGAGTGCTGTCAGACCTCCACTAAATAGGTCACAGGTCCCTCCACAGACAGAAGCCTCTGAAGACCCTTATCAAGAAGACTCACAGATCCAACTCACTCAGCCTGAAGGACTCTATCTCCCTCAGCCAAGTTTCCAGCCACAACTCCCATTCCTTGCAGGAGAATCCCAGGATCCTAACCAAAATGACCCTAATCCGGAGCTCGAAGACTATTACTACTCAAGGAGACACTATGACTCAGATGACCCTGACCCAGAAGGCATCATGAACCTATCCCCTAGCCACGAGCCTATTTATAAAAACTAGGGAACATCATTATCAGAAAATCTCCTTTTGGGATACTCTGAAGATAAAGTGGGACCCGTCAGAATCCTACTTTATGTCGCCATCCACTTTTACTTTATTAAAGTAGTTTGTCCTGTAGTCTATTTCTTCCTCTTGTAATAAGTAGAGTAGTTACCATTATTAGGTGTCATTATGAGAGTAGTTGGTAGTTAGTAGTTGTGATTATTAAATGTTAAGTCATAATGACATCTACTATTACATCTACCCGTCATAATGAGGTGTACTATTAGGACTTTGTCATGTAGTGACCCCGAGCGTCTATATAAACCCCACTCTGCCATCAGTTACAGGCATAAGGAGTTGTATTGACTTCCTTATATAATACTAGTGTGCTTTTCTCATGAGCTCTCTCTAAATTTCTCTCTTCTTCTGAAAGCCTCACTTATAGTGTCTTTCTTCTGTCGCCAGAGATTCTAAGTATGCTCTGCACTTGCCTCTTTAAGAGGATCCTGTGCATCAGAAAATAGAATCTGACCACGATCCATGAAGGAGTGTTTAGTGACAATCTTTCCAGTTATCCTAGATCCGACATTCAAAGCTGAGAGTCCTAACGTAGCCTGTCGATGAGTTGAGAATGAGTTACCTTACCTGGACTAAAGCCTTGGATATCAGACTATGTTAGCTTGGTCTGGTTCAGCTAACACCCCGAGTGTGGTATCAGAGCCAGCACAATCTTGACAGAAGTGAGATATTATTTGTGAAGGTGAGTAAGAAGATATAATCTTATCATGAGTGAAACCTCAAACAGCCTTGAACCCGTTCGCCTTTCTTCTTCCTTCATCCCACAAAGACTTCCTTCCTCTGTTCGTAGAACTCTCTCTAGAAAAATAGAGAATCTTGTTGAGATAGATCATCTTCCTGAAGATGCTAGAGTTCAGGAAACAGATCTACCTCTTCTCAGTCCTTATAGCCTTTATCACCGTACCAACCATGTCACCAAAAATGTTAGAAACCTGATTTCCACCCGAATACCCCATGTTAAAGAAATTGTCCAGTCTACCAGACTAGAAAACTGTGGTCTTCCTGCCTCTTCCTCTGAACAATATGTCAATATTGACATACCTCAACCTTTGATCAACGAGTGGATAGCTCAAGGTTATACCCATCTCCATATTGGTGCTGTACGTCTTATCCTTACACTCTATGGGAGAAAAGGAATCCCAACCACTACTAAAGTTGCTCTAGTCGGTACTACCTATACTACCTACAGTAATGCTTTGATTGGTGCTGTCTTAACCACTCTTAGCAATGGTAGTGTCATCCTTACTATGGCCCCAAACTTCAACATCAAGCTTTCAGATCCAACTTTGACGGACAGACTAAAAATCCAATTTTTGGACATCTGCTAGAGATTCAAGACGGGATCCAGGAGGGAAAATGGTGGCTCTCATTCTGTGAGGCATTTCTGGTTCAGAGATGGTTAGGATGAAAAGAGGTTGAGGTCTGGAGAGTGACAAGAGTTTCGGAGGCTGGGAAACTTTCTGAGGTCTCGTGAGGAAATCTGCTATGATGTTCTGGTGACCTTTGAGATGATGGACGGTGAATTTATAGCGAGAGAACCAGTCTTTCCACCGGAGTAATTGGCTGTCTGGCAAAGTCTTTCCCTTGGGATCAAGCATTCTTGGAAAAGACGTATTGTCCATTTCTACTCTGAATTGATAAGGACTGAGATGGAAGCTGAACTTCTCGATTCCTCTTTTGATAGCAAGGATCTCCTTGTAGGTAGCATGATAATGCTTTTCTGACTCTTTGAATTGTCCGCTTGCATGTCCACAGTAAAATCTCTTTCCATCTATCTCTTCAATCAAGACAGCTCCCCAAAAGTCATCACTAGCATCAGTCTGGAGGATTCGCAGTCCCTTGTCAGGAATCTTTAAAGGAGGTGGTTGCTGTGCAATTCTTTTAAGGGTCTTGACAGCTGAGGTCTGCTCTGTCCCCCACGCGGGAGGATTCTTTTTGAGAAGTTTGGACAGCTGGCTGGTATGATTTGACACATGAGGGATAAAATCCCGAAGATAATTAATAATCCCCAGAAATTGTTGGATTTGCTTTGTTGTGAGATTATCGTCTGGGAATTTGAGTAATTCTTCTATAATGTGTGGTCCAGGATAATATTGACCATTTTCAAAATGCATTCCAAGGAACTCTATGCTCTTAACACCTATTTCTCCTTTCTTTGCCGACAACATAATCCCATATTTTTCAATTATTTCCCCGAACTGGGTTAATAAAAGTTTATGGGAATCCTCATCTTTTGAGAAAAGTAAAAGGTCATCAATGTAAATGAGGAGGTTATCAAGCATAGGTTCAAAGATTCTGGTCATGGCCTTTTGGAACAGTGATGGGGCGGCCTTAAGCCCAAATGGCATGACAGTCCATTGGTATTGGGCGTTTGGAATACATAAAGCAATTTTGGGTCGATCTTCTGGGTGAATACCCAATTGCCAAAATCCTGCTTTGAGGTCAAACTTGGAAAAGATTTTTGCATCTTTAAGATGGACTGTAAGTGAACTGGGCTTTAGTAAAGGGAATTTGTCATCTTGAAGGAAAATATTAAGAGGCTTATAGTCGATGACTAACCTTTTCTTCCCTCTTTTGATTTCTGATCTTTTTTCAACATAGAATGCTTGACAAGCCCAATTAGATTTTGTTAGTTCAATAAGGCCTTGTTTGAGAAGTGCAGCACATTCTTCTTTAGCGAGTTTGAGATCTTCTGGATTCATTCCTGGATGAGAGGCTTTTGTGGGACTAATATCTTCATTCTTCTTGAAGGGGAGTTTTATGAAAAACTCTTGATTTTTCCATAATGGAAATGGATGAGAGAACTGTTGATGACTATCAGCGCAAAACTTGAGAAGATGATCTCGAATATCTTCATATCCTGGTGGTGCTTGTTGGATCTAAAAAAGATTAGGAATTTCAGTATATGCACTAAAGAAATTTTTATATCTAATTCCTTTAGGCAAGACTTGAAGATTCCTAGTATGGTAATAAGTATCGAATCCAATAAGAATATCTTTCCCCGGGAGATCACTACCAAGAACTTTCATCCATAGAACACATCCTGGAAAGAATTGAATACCAATCTTCCTGCGAGTGATCCATTCAATCTTGAATGGTTTTGAATTAGCAGTAAGGAAAAATTGATCACAAGGGATCCATGCTTCAGAAGGAAGAATATCAGGATTCATGATGGTTCTGCATGCTCCAGTATCAATAAAAGCAATAACAGGAATTGGCTTTTCATATCTTCCTGGAAGGATATGAATTTTGACATTTGGCTTGGGAGTGACTTTGTTGTGATCTGGCTGGGAAGCCAGGGAACCAAGGAAAGAAGACGGATGCACAGGCTGTTCAAGGGAATATAAATACCCTTGAGGATCATCATCTTCTTGGGATAAGGATTCAGAATCAAATTCTTCATCTTCAGAGAAAGGAAGAACATATTGTGTTTCTTCATTCTGAGCATCTTGTTCTTCAATCACAGATTCTATATCTTCATCTTCGTTGATCATGAGAACAGTCTGCAAATGTTCCAGCATCTTCACATCCTTTTTTGTCTTGTTAGGACAATTTTTTGCAAAATGTCCTTTTTTCTTGCATACGTAACATCGGTCAGATTTCTTTGAATAAGGCTTGCGCCTCTTAAAATATCTCAAGAAAGGCTTTCTGGATCTTCTCCTAGAATAAGAACCCTTTGGATATCTGAATCGACGATAATGAGATTTTCTCTTGGTAGAACAAGAGCAATCTTTATCATCTTTGCACTTTATTTTCAGATGCGGTTTCTTGCAAGCATGCCTGAGCTTTGACTGTCCTTTCAGCATTCCTTTGAAGAACTTCTGTTGTTCACAGAGGTTATCCACAGTTGCTAATGCCAACTGATATATTTCTCCAATGGAAATGTCAGCCATGTTTCTGTGGAGTGCATTGATAGCTCTATGAAGTTCTGGTTGCAGTTCATCTGGAAGAGAGGCAATAAAAGTATGCCTGAGATTGACATCATTAGCTCCTCGAAGCATGTAATATTTTTCAGACATTCTCTGAAAATGTTTCTGCAAGTCTCTTTTGTCCAAAGAACAGCATTTCATCTCGAAGTA